TAAAGACCGCAAGAAGAAACATTAAGGGATACGTTTTTACAATCATACCAAAAAGTCTTTTACTTGCTAAAAAAAAGTATCCATCAGACAACTGAAGGCAGGTTGTAGATTTTGAGCAACAGGTTTTTAAGCAAAGTTTTGATTGTGCTAATAATTTAGAGACCTTTAAATATGATACGGTAGGAACCATCCTCTTTTTCACATACTATTAAAATATAGTTTTCACAGGCTATCAAGCTCCAAAAATGGCAAAAAAGCAAAATGAAAGTATTATAAAAGACATATGCACCATATGTGACCCTGGAGCACAAAACCAGTCTTAAGTCGCTGGGGTATATTTGTAGCAATAGCCAACAATACATTGTATGGGTCAAAATGATTGATTTTTCTTTTATGCCAAAAATCATTAGGATATTAAGTAAAGATCATGTTCCATAAAGATATTTTGTAAATTTCCTACTGTAAATATATCAAAACTTAATTTTTGATTAGTAATATGTATTGCTAAGAACTTAATTTGGACAACTTTAAAGGCGATTTTCTCAATATTTTGATTTTTTTGCACCCTCAGATTCCAGATATTTAAATAATTGTAACTCGACCAAATATTGTCCTATCCTAACAAACCATACATCAATGGAAAGCTTATTTATTCAGGTGATGTATAAATCTCAATTTCGAAAAATTGACCCTTATGACTTGTTTTGTGGTCCAGGGTCACATATAGTCTTGTGAACAAACAAACATAAAGAAAAAACATTGTAGTCTCTTAAAACCATTTTAGCTGTTCAGTTTGTCATAATACTTCCCAAAACTGAACCGTTTGACCATATCTTGAGGTATAATGATTTTGAGGATGTTTGTGCATTAGACAGGGCACTAGATCACCACACATTCATTTATCAGCCACATAAAACTGCTTTATGCTTCAGCGTGATTTGCTGTGTAAATTGCATGAAAACAGCCTAAATATAAGCTTTTGATGTCCAGAGGGAGGATTGGGGAGTGTGGAGGTACACAGCAGATGGCACCGTCTGCTCGAGGGGTGAAAGCGCTGGCATTTTAACATATGGCTGAACTGTGCACCTCTCTGTCCACTCGCCGCCTCAGGGAAGAGGCGCTGCATGATCTGTTCTGCGTCACGGTAAGAGAGGAGATGAAACGGGGTAAAGCAGCAGCGTCAGGCCTCTAGGCTTTCATTCAGTTTCATCACACAATCATCACTTGACTCTCTGATTTTTGTGTTGTGGTTAATTTTTTTGCAAAAATGTATTCAATTGATCAAAAGTGACAGTAAATGTTACAAAAGCTTTTTATTTATTTCAAATAAATGCTGTTCTTTTTAACTTTCTATGCAAAGAATCCTGAAAAAAGAAAGCTTTCATGAAAATATTAAGAAGCGCATATGTTTTCAACATTGATAATAATAATAAAATGTTTATTGAGTAGCAAATCATCTCATTAGAACGATTTCTGAAAAATCATGTGACAATGACTGGAGTAACGATGCTGAAAATTCAGCTTTGATCACAGGAATAAATTATATTTTAAAATATATTCAAATAGAAAACAGTTATTTTAAATTGTAAAAATATTTCACAATATTACTGTTTTTACTGTATATTTTCTTTCACATAAATTCAGCCTTGGTGAGCATAAGTGACTTCTAAAACATTTTAAATAAAATCTTACCCAACCATACCTTTATAAAGTAGTTTATATATTAGTGTCGTGCAAACATTTACCTACATAAACATCCAGATATCTTACTTTTGCATTCGCAACTAATTTTAGTACTGTAATATTATGTATTATTGCTTTTTTTGTCAATAGGTTATTCAGTAAGAGAAAAAAGCAACTTGCAGTAAAAAAGTAAATGGGGTAATTTTAAATTCATGTTGACTTTAAATATCAATATTAATATTAATGTTAAATCTAAAAACAAATATTGAGATATCATTTTAAATTGGATTGAATTTTATATACATTATTTACTGTTGTATCAAATTGTTTGGAAGGATTTGGACATCATATCCTGCCTTTGACCCTTTCCTGATCTCACCTGGGAGTAGTTGTGGTGTTGAGATCTGCTTTATATTATTTATTAATATAAGAAGCATATGAGCCACAAGCCTAATCACCCATGACAGCTGATATAAAGGATCTAGAAATGCAGCTTTATCTCATCTAATGGCACATTATTCGCACTTGAACTGATGTTCACAGTCTCACCAACACACACACACACACACACAGTATTAGACGCACATCCTCAATTCACAACATAATCACAGCCAGCTTTTAAAACAGTCATTCACCCAAAAATGAAAATGCGGTCACCCTCACTATATCATTGCGAACCCTCTAAACCAGGGGTGGGCAAACTTGGCTTTTCCAGGCCACTTTCCTTCAGAGGTTAGCTCCAACCCTAATCAAACACACCTGAACCAGCTAATCATTGTCTTCAAGATTATACTAGAAGGCTACAGGCAGGTGAGTCATATCAGGGTTGGGTCAAATCTCTGCAGGAAAGTGGCCTGGAAGGGCCAAGTTTGCCATCACTGCTTTAAACCCTCTGGGTGTGTGAGTCATATGAACTGAGTGTGTGTTGATCATTTGCTCTGTGTGTGTGTGTGTGTGTGTGTGTGTGGGGTGTGTGTGGTGTGTTGTGTGTGGTGTGTGAGACTAATGTCAGTCTGTGTCAGCGGTCAGGTGCTAAACTGGGAGATGTGTGAGGTGAACGCCGTGTCCCTGTCCCTCACTGTCTCATCTCTGACGTCTCTCTGTCTCTTTGAGTTGAAGGTAATGGATTTGATGTCGTGTTTATGGTCTCCGCTTCTTCTATCACTGCCAGGGAAGCACTTGTACAGCATTATAGCTCAGATGTTTAGATCAGGGGTTCTCACTTTTTGTTTTGTTTTTATATTGATCATCAAGTGGTGGCCCAACAGAGTACTTAAATTGTTTATCATATTCAAGTAAGCTGAAATTACGATAACATGATATTTTGATAACATTTTTTCCTTGACTTTTAGTTAATCGTTTTTTTAGTTAAACATTGTCTTTATTATTTTATTTAATTTTTTATTTTATTTTCAGTCCAGTTATGGTCTCCAAAATATTGGACATCCCCTGCAATTTTTTAAAGGGGTCATATGATGCGATTTCAATTTTTCCTTTCTCTTTGGAGTGTTACAAGCTCTTGGTGCATAAAGAAGATCTGTGAAGTTGCAAAGACTAAAGTCTCAAATCCAAAGAGATATTCTTTATAAAAGGTAAGAGTCAACCATGCCTACCTAAAATGACTCGTTTAAACACGCCCCCACATATCTACGTCACTATCTGGGAAGATTTGCATAACACCGCCCAAATGTTCACGCAAAGAAAGAAGGCGTAACTTTTATTCTCGCTGTAGTATTGTTGTTGCGGCCGCCATGTCGTGAAGGCGCTGTGTGTTTCGTTGTGAAAGCGAAACTACTTTGTTTGGTCTTCCAAAAGAGGAC